TTGTTCTTTTGACCTAGGATTGTCTTGGCAATGCAGGCTCTTTTTTGGTTCCATATGAACTTTAAAGCAGTTTTTTCCAATTCTGTGAAGAAAGTCATTGGTAGCTTAATGGGGATGGCATTGAATCTATAAATTACCTTGGACTGTATGGCCATTTTCAGGATATTGATTCTTCCTATCCATGAGCATTGGATGTTCTTCCATTTGCTTGTGTCATCTTTTATTTCATTGAGCAGAACAAACAACTTTCTTGAGCAACAGACCTTTCAAATGACTTATTGGACAAAAACCCACGTGAATGCTCTCAGGCATCTTAAATTAAAATTCAAAATTCAAACTAAGCATATTATTCTCCTTAAATTTGCTTTCTTCCTGGGAGGAAGTATCCTATGAAAAAGGGAATACTAGTTTTAAACCAAACAGAACCAGATTTAAATCCAGCCCCAGAAGCTTCAGTAATATACTTCGTCTTTGTGCTTTCGTTTTTTCATGTATAATATGAAGATAATAATATCTCAATTTTCTGCGTTATTGAGGATTAAAATAGATATTGAAAAAATGCCTATCCACATAGGATATATTCTACAAATATCCACTTTTTACTGGATTCCCAATTTCAGTAAAAGGAACTCCATTTGCCACATATCTCAAATCAAAAATGTAGATGCTGAAGATTCAACTTGTCCTCTTTTTCTCACCAGCAACCCATGGATAGCTATGCCATATTGATTCCTTAACTCTCCCCTTCCCTTAGTTCAGGCTTTTTGTGTTCTTCCTCATGGATACTACAAGAGTCTCCTAACTAGTTGATCCAATTGCAGCCCAACACCCTTTCTATCTATTCTCTGAGCTGTAGCCAGAGGATCTTCCCAAGACACAAATCTAATAGTGGCATGACTGCTTAAACCTGCTCACTTACTTCTCATTGCTTCCAGATTATATCTGCTTTAGCATTGCACTGAAGACCAATTATGATCTGGTCCCCATCTACCTCCAACTCAATCCCTTGAACTAGTTGTGGATCTCTCCAACTGCCCACAGTCTTTTGGATTCTATTCCTCTATTCATGTTGCTTCCTTTGCCTGAAATGTTCTCAATCCCCTACATTTCTTCAGGCCACAGGATAATGAAGCACACAGGCCCTTAGAAGATTCTAGCATATACTCTTGGACTTCCAGCTCCATAACCATAAGCTAAATAAATTTCTTTATAAATTAGTCAGTCTGTGGGATTATAACAACATAAAATAGACTAAGACAATGACTCAACTAGAAATGTCAGATTCAAGAATCCAATCAGGGCCATATAGTGTTAGTCTATACCTGTACCATTACATACAACATTTTGCCTTTATAAAATAGCATCAGTAGTGGTGGTAGAGGTCTTCAGGCTAGTAACTCCTGGACATAGTTAGTTTGGAAGGATAATCTAGAATTCACTTTTCAAATTTAGAATTTCTTCTCAACTCTAGTTTCCTATCACTAATGTTTGCAAGGTAAAGGTCTCAAATCACCAGCTTCTTTGGCACTTTTCTGCTCTCTTCATCACTGAACAACTTGACACCCACAGACTTTAACTAGGAATCATGAAGTCACAACAGAGAAACAGAGCTGCCACCCCTTCCTTGGTTGTGCCTTATATCTAGCGTTTTCTGTAAGAAAATATGCTGCTCTCCTTCAATTTCACATCTCAGAAATTGAGAGAGAGTCTGATGACTTTAGTAATTGGCCTACTTTTGGAGCAACAAATTCCCAGCATAAAAAAGAATCAATTAAAGAAAAAGACAATTTGAAGTCAAAATGTTTTGACTTCCATCCCACAACTGACCGGCTGTCTCCTACTACATACAGAAAGAGGAAATAAATGTACAACATGAGGATTCTGGGGCAGGGATAATTTCCTAAGATTAAGGTTCTTTGAGTTATCAGATGGTTTCCAAGGAAAGTCCTAGAATTCCTTCTCTGAATATCCTTAACAAAGACATTCCAAGATATTCTCCTTTATCTGTGATTGAGTATTCATTGATTTGAACAGCTGCAGGAGTGTCAGCCTGTGATTTGTAAAGCCTACTCATTCGGACATCACCAATTTGTGGTAACCAGACAGGAGTGGAATGAAGTTTGCTCTATGTTATTAACATAGAACAGCATTTCTTAAATTAACTGTTTATATGATTGCGGGGAAATGCTCAAATAACCTAGCAGAACTATTTTCAAATATCTTATAAAAATACAATTGCCAGCAATTATGCTTCTAGATATCTACTCAACTGATTTGAAACATGTCCACAGAAAAACCTGAACTTAAATACTTAATAGCAGCTTTATTCACAATTGTCAAAAACTGGAAGAATCACAGTGTTCTTTAATAGGTATAAATGATGGTACATCTATACATTAGAATACCATTCAGGGATCAAAAAGGGAGAAATAAAGACCAGGCATAGAGGCTCATACCTGTAATACTAATGCTTTGTGAGGCTGATGTGGGAGGATCCCTTGAGGCCAGAAGTTTGAGGCCCCCTTCTCTATAAAAAAAGTTTTTACAATTAGTGAAGCATGATGGTGTGTGCCTGTAGTCCCAGCTACGTGGGAAGCTGAGGCAGGAGGATTGCTTGAGCCCAGGAATTTGAGGTTACAGTGAGCTATAATCGTGCCACTGGACTGCAGCCTGGGCAACAGAGCTATCAGACCATCTTAAAAAGGAATCCATAAAAAGACAGGAATGAACTGTTATGCCACACAAAAACATGGATGAATCTTAAATGTAGCTATTACTATGTGAAGAAAACAAGTCTGAAAATGCTACATACTGTATTATTCCATTTCTATGTCATTCTGGAAAAGTCAAAATTATAGAGATAGTAAACATATCAGTGGTTGCTAGAGGTATAGGAAGGTGGGAGGGTTTACTAGATGGAACAAAGGGGATCTTTTTAGAACTGTAACTTTTCTGTATGACACTGTTATAATGGTGGATCCATGACACTATGTATGGATTTGTCAAACCCTATAGAAAGAAAATTTAAAGTGAAAAAATGTTTTACATCTATCCCATTACTGACCAGCTGTCTGCTACTAGGTACAGGAAAAGAAAAAAAATAAATGTGCAATATGAGGATTGCACAAAGAGAACTTAAATGGAGGAAGATTTTTTTAAAAATCTTAGGAACTCAAAGAATCCCAGTAGGTAATGCAGATTGTGGCAAAAGATTACAACTGTATTAGGAGCATATAAAATAACTTGACCGAAGCCAGGTAGAGGTAGGATGGAGGGTTGCTGACTTCAGCTGAAAATAAGTGGAGTCTATAAGATTAAAAGCAAAAGAACTATCCATAAGCATTGTACTCTAATCGGTAAATCTGTTTCTCACAGGTATACCTGATAACAATTCAGAAACAACTATACATGTACTCTGAATATGGGTTAACGGTTCTGAATCCATTATACATGTAACCTGTAATTGCACAATTAGGTAAATGGATGGCAGACGATGAGAGCCAAGTGTCTCACACTGGAGTGAGAGGTTACAGACAAGCAAGGGGAGAAGGCTACAATGATCCATGTGGTGCTGGAATTGCACTGAAGATAACAGCTCTAATACTTGAACCTAGAACTCCTGTGTAGCTGTCAAAGATACAGATGGATACATATATAAATACTTACAGATATGCATATTTAGTCAGGTTAGCATATGCACGAACATTTCCTTGCTCTGTCAGCTGAGAGGGTCTAGAGGCAACAATATCCCAAATGTCCAAATCTTTATTTCTAATATCATTTTCCATTAGAAGGACCCTTGGCTCTTTGGGGAAGTAGCTGATTCTAGGATTGGGGCAGGGAATATACAAGATGAGCCTGGAGCATCTTACAGAAATTAAGAAAATGCTCAAGAAAAAAATCCATAAACATAAAAAGAGGAGGGTGTGTCAAAAAGACACAAATGCCAACTAAAGGAAATCTCAATAGCCAAAGCTGGAACCAATATGAACAACAAAATAAAGTAGTATTGGATTATAACCCAAAATGTAAAATCAATATCCATGAGTCCATATTGACATAAATGATTGAATACTTAAAGAAATGCAGGAGTACAGACAAATCTCCCATGCAAAAGAATTCCAAATAATTTATGAAGATACTCTGTCCTCATAAAGGTGGAGTATAACAATTTCCCATTTCTACAGTTGGGCTGCACAGAGTGATGCCCTTCCAAAGAGAGAGTAACTTCACAGTGGAGAAACCTGACAACCCCTACATTAACAAGGTGATAAAGGTTAGCATCAACAGTAATAAGTCATGTTGATAGTATATACCCTTGACATGACGTGATGAGAAGATCACTTTACCTTACCTCTTAACAAAAAAACCTATAACCTCAGTCAATGCCTGAGAAAAATACAGGCAAAACCCAATTGAAGGACATTTGACCAAATGACTGATAAGTCGCTTCAAAATTATTAAGGTTATCAAAAACAAGGAAAGTCTGAGAAACGGTCACAGTCCAGAGAAGCCTGGAGCGACATGGTGACGTATTCCGGACAGGAACCTGGAACGGAAAAGAACACCAGGCCGAAAACTAAGGACAGCTGAAATAAAATATAGGCTTATGGGCTTTAGTCAATTTTTAAAAAACGTATTAGATACATGAAAATGATATACGATTTACAAATCCGTCGCCTAATATTTATTTATTGAGCATATCGAGAGCCTGGCACTGTGGTAGGGATGGGAACACAGAAAGAGGTAAGTGTCCTACGCTCAAAAACAGCGAGTCATGAAAAATAAACAACTATGACAAAAAGAACAGAAGACTGTATCTCCTGGAGGCAGTAAGAAAGGCTTAAGATGGGAAGACTATCAAACGCATCAAGGAGTTCATGAAGGTTAATTGACCGCCTAACGCAGGTTGGGAGCCCTCCTCTCCATCCACCCAAATCACCCTCGCCCCACCTTTTCTCCTCCCATGCGTTTAACCCAGTGACAGGTCGGTTCCACGTAGGCCTACTTTGCGCGTGCGCATCATCGGTTCGGCGATCCTTCGCATCGACGCGCTCAGCAGCAACTTCTTCTGCCTGGTCACCGCCAGCGTAGGCGCTACCACAGCTGCAGTCGCCGCCGCCATTTTAACGGCAGGAAGAGTCTGGTTCTGGGACAGCTGGGGACAGTGGTGGTGCCTGGTACGGACGGTTTCCGCCCACGTTAGCCCCTCCAAACTTGCTCGTGTTAGGGCTACAGCCCTCGGTATTGCCTGTATTTTCACTGGGTCCCTGTCGTTGTCCCCAGCCATCCTGTCCCTCTGTCTTTAGTCTCTTTTCTGCTTCCTCATCCTTCAGCTTAGCCGGAAGCTTTGCCTGGAGCTGTTGTTATGCAGCCCCAACCTCTATTAAAGCAGCCGCTTCGATTCCCGGGACTGAATTGTGGCCGCCCAGCCCCCATTCCCCGCCCCGATCTGGTCCGAGTTTATTTTCCGCGGCTGTAAACCGGAAGGGCTCTGAGCTGCAGTGCCCGCTCCGGGCCGGGGGATCTGTGCCCGGTATGGGGGCGAGTTCTGGCCTCCTTAGGGTACGGGGAGAGCTTGGACTTTGGTCCTGACGTGGTGGAGGACACACCTCCGAAGTGGACGTTACCTCAGTTGTCTGTTGTTGGAGTTTAATCGGTCACTCGTCTGTTTTGTTGTGTTCTTTCCCAGGAATAACTTTACCAAAGGAAAGCTATTTTGCGAACTGCCCTCTCCAGTGGAGATGGCCAATGTGAGTACATTATCTCCTAAGAATCAGCATAGTAAACTAGTTTGGGAATGTTAGGAAATGAAAGAACAGGTTTAATTATGATGGCATTGGGTGGCATAGTGTTAGACAATGTATCAAAAATGTCAGGGGAAGCAAGTGGTGTGAAATTGTGTTATGCTTTGAAGGTGGTAGCATTCTTTTCACTGCAAATACACTTATACAATTTGACTTGTACAGATGTGGAAATTCAAGCACCCTTTCGGTATTTTTAAATACAGCGTTTCAGTAAATATTAGAATCTATGTTTAGGCCCTTTTTTATCTTTTGGGTTAGCTAAACTGAAGGGTGTTTTTTTCTTTTCTTTTCTTTTCTTTTCAACAGTTTCTGTATTGGAAGTGACCTTCCAAATCCTACAAAATAAGAACAGGAGATACTCTCACACACCAAAGATATTTATTGACTGTAACTTTCCAGTGATTAGACACATCCTATCTATAGAATTCATATGTAGCGGTCATAAGACATATATAAAAACAGCTACAATTAAAGTATAAAGTAATAATTTTTTTAGAACGTACACAAAGGTGCAATGCAGATTCAAGGCTTTGTGGAGAGGAGTTTGGGATCACTTCATGAGGGAAACATTTAACTTTTGAAAGGTTTGAAAGATGGGTGAGATTTGTATAGTCTAAAATATGAGCGGGAAGGACAGGAAGGTATATTCATAGAACTCCCCACCCCGCCTACCCCTCTGAAAAATTAAAAAGTCATTGCTCCCTGCTAACCTAAATGTAAGATGTGTGAAAGAGATAAGTGGGAGATAAGGTTGAATTGTGAGGTTGGTACCAAGTAAATGAGAACCTTGAATGCCGAACTCAGTAATTTAGACTTTATTCCTTAAATTGTGATTATTCACTTAGAGCTGTGTACTAGGAAGACTTATATGGCAGCAGTTAGCCAGGATGGTATTTCTGTAATTGAACATGATATATTAAGTCTAAAGTGTGACTGTAGAGACAAGTCATAAGAGTAGATTACTAGTCTTGGCCAAGTTCTACGGTGAATTTTTGCCTGCCCGTAACCTGCACAGAAAAAGAATGCTGTAAAAGAAGTATGTGGCACTTTCAAAGGAGAGAAATTAATTGAAGTAGAATAGAAAGCTATTATTTGACCTGGTTTTATTTTGGTTTAAATGAATAAATTATAATAGTTCAGTAGGGAAGATCCTTTTGTAAGTCTTTTGTTAGAAAGAAGTTCATATTAAAGTAAATTTTAAGTTTCAGTATCCAAATGTACGTTAACAATTTTTGTGCTAATTTATATGGATTGTAAATTCTGGATGGATGTTACTAATGAAATATGCAGATAGGTGTTTCATAACAAGGGGCAAAAATGTTGATGTTTCAGAGTCTAGACAGGTAAATTAAGATGCCTTCATGGGGACTATGACAAAGCCTTGCTGTTAAAAGGGGAGCAGCCTTCCCTTAGCCACAATGATTTGTTGCTAACTAATGCCATTTGGTTATGTGAGTCCAATACTGCCAGGTCTTCTGAGTTTTCAGGAAGAGCCAAATTTCTGGACCTTTTGTGTAAATATTTCAATTACTCAATGTTTGTATTTAATTCAAATATCTTGCAACACTGGGGGCTGCAAAAAATATCTGGATAGATTTGGATGCACTGCATAAACTACCAGTTTTTAGTTTTTGTACAGACTGTATTTTCTCACATGATCAAAAGCAGAACCTAGTCCAAAGGCAGTGCACAAAAGGCACTTTCTTTTTATATACTAATAAGGATTTTAAAGTTAAAACATAATAGCATGTCATCTTCCTAAGTCTAGAAGTTTGAATTTAATCATATATAAAATATGTACTTACCCTCAAACTAGAATGAAGTCTCTGCTGTAATTTTGTCTTGCTTTTTGGCAATTACTTTTTATTATGTTCACCAGCTAAACCAGTCATAAAATCTGTCAGGTGGTCAGAAAATACTCCACTTCCACAATTAGAGATTTGAGGTTTTGTTTTTTTTTTTTGAGATGCAGTTTCACACTTGTTTTCCAGGCTGGAGGGCAATGGCAGGATCTCCACTCACTGCAAGCCTGGCTCCTGGGTTCAGTTGGTTCTCCTGTCTCAGCCTCCCGAGTAGCTGGGATTATAGGCACTCACCACCACGCCTGGCTAATTGTCTTTTTTTGTATTTTTAGTAGAGACAGGGTTTCACCATGTTGGCCAGGCTAGACCTCAGGTAATCCACCCGCCTTTGCCTCCCTAAGTGCTGGGATTACAGGCATGAGCCACTGCACCCGCCCAAGATTTGAGAATCTTACAGGTTAACGGGTAAGATTTGAAACAGATTAGTACTGTCATCAACTGTCCCTTTCAGTAGGCAATTTAGATACTGGTTTATTTTGCCATTAAAATGAAATTTGGTGATTGGATTTTCTTAGGCTAGGAACAAAACTAGTAATTATGTAACTTTTGTTAAAAGTTGTATCACCAAGAAAAGAATGTCAAAATATAATCTAATGGCCTTGATAGACAGGCTGAAATAATAATTAATAATAGGCAATTTTTGAAATAATTTGGATGATCTTCCTTTTGCTTCTGTTTTTTGCTTGTGAAACGATGTGAATGATCGCAGATTGTAGATTAATCATCCTGGAACTAGTCCTAATAACAGTGTATAGAATTGTTATGGAAAGTAAATAAAACAATGTATATGTAAAGCACTTACTATAGAACTTGGACCCATAGTGTCCAACATCAATTGATTATTACTGTTACATGCTCTCAAGTATTGTCCCCTTCAGGTAATCTTTTATTTTGCTGCTGCTTATTTTGAGCCCTTGCTGAAAATATTTTTGGAATTTGAAATTTTAGATTCCTTTAGATCTTGGGTGCATTCTCTTAAATATCTTTAGTTGTAAAGGTAAATTTGTAATATATAAACACCCAAAAGTCTGAGTTTGTTTGTAAGTAAAAAGCCAAGTAATTACCATTTTTGTTTCTTTGGGCATGTTGGGTACAGACCCCAAGAGAGGCTGTTTAAATTTTAGGCAGACAGAATTCTTTGGAGACACGTATCACCAAGGAGGTTATATTTATACAGGTCTTAAAAAGTAAGAATTTGCTAGAATTTTCTAGAACGATAAGGAAACAGTATCTTCTAGAAGAAATCTTACGGCAGTATAAAGAATGAAGAGAAATATGGGAAATGTCGGGGAGATATTTTTATGTGATTGAAGAGTAGAGTAAGGGAAGTGAGGGGAAATTTGTAGGAAATTATGTCAGAAAGACAAAAAGACCAGTTAGGATGCACTCTTATACTTAACGGTGAAAAGGTGGAAGGAAAAAATAGGTTGAATTTTAGAATACTGTACTTTGTGAAAGGGAAATAGAATAATTCTCAAGTGTTAGATGGCTGGATTTTTCCAATATCCTAGTAACTAATTTTCACACCACCTCTCTACTGCTCCTCCAGTCCATTTTTTATACCGCCCTTAGTGGTACATTTCTTGAAACAGCCTTTGTTTTTGCCAGTTTACTCTGACTCTTTCCTGCCTACAAATTAAAATTCTGACTATCTTGATGTAACAAGCCCTTTACCATCTGAGTTAAATATACAGTCTTATATAGTTGCCCATAAGTTCAATTTCAAACCTTTTTTTTATTGCATTCTTATACCTACCCTCACTGAATTTGTCACTCTTTGAAATATGTCTCTATTCCTTTGTTCCTGAAAGTCACTGGTTGAAATGCACCTTTTCCCAAGCAAATTTTTATTGTCTTCAAAGCTTAGTATATCCTCCATGAAATTAATTACCTTTTCTCCCAAAGATTTCTTAATAATTATTCAAATCTTTTCATAGCATTTCACAGATGAATTGGTGTTTGTTCTTAATATCTTTTTCACTAAACTGAGAGTTGCCAGTGTGTGTGTGTTTTTTAATACAAATATCCGGATAGTGCATATTTTAGACTTTGTGGGCCATAGAATCTCTCTTGTAACTACTTAACTGTGCCATTGTGGTGGGAAAGTGACCATAGGCAATACATAAATTAGTATGGCTATGTTACAGTAAAACTTTATTTACCAAAACAGTGGGCTGTATTGGGAAATCATTCGCCAATCCCTGCATTAAATTGTTCTGACCCAAGTACTTTGTGAAAAAATTTATGAATGAAAGATATTTACACATTCATCCATTGTAATACGTGATCTCACAGTCTAGTAAGTGAACATACAAGTAGAAAAAAAATGTACCACAAAGAGATGTGCTGAAATGGAGAAAAGCAGACATTGCCGTGAAACCACAATGAAAGGACAGTATGGGAGAGAATTAGTATAATTTATAGCAGTAAAAGAAGAGAGGAAAGTTCGAAAGTGACAGATTTTGGTCCAAAGAGATGTTTTGAGAGTTCTTTATTGAGGATAGAAGAATCTTCTTCGTTGTGCTACCTTTTTAGTGTGTTTAAGTAAGACAACTTTTAGATGTCTATTCTCTCATGTGTGACACTCTTGAATTCTAGCATTTATTGAAAAGTACATAGACTTTTACCCAAACTAACTCATTACTTGTTTTTTTTCAATATTTATTTTTAGTTTTAAAATTACAAATATACATAATGCTTGTCATATAGTAGGTGTTCAGTAAAAGTAGAATGTTGGTTTTTAAAAGAACCTTGCAGTGTGAAGATTTGCCAGAGATTGTCTATGTAAGTATAACATTTATATTCAGAAGAAATAATTTTAATTTTGTGTCATTTTTAGGTGCTTTGTAACAGAGCCAGACTGGTTTCCTATCTCCCAGGATTTTGCTCTTTAGTTAAAAGGGTTGTCAATCCCAGAGCCTTTTCGACTGCAGGATCGTCAGGTTCGGATGAGTCTCATGTGGCCGCTGCACCTCCAGATATATGCAAGTGAAAGTTGTTATTGCTTTACTTATAATTGTTTCAAAACATTTCTAGTTGTATTTCCTCTAATATTTCTTCTTAAGGCTTAATGGATTTTTCTGAAGTTGTGTTTATTCTGTTGAAAATGAATCACAGCTCTGCCTAATTATATTTATGTCAGAAAGCTACAGTATAAAAAAGGAAGAAAGAATAAGTACTGGTTTCTAAAACTTCTTAAACTTTTTCTATCTTCAAACATAGAGTCTTCCCTGAAACAAATCTCCTTTTGGTCCTGTTAAACCATATTATTATTTCTTCCCATTCTTTGCTAAATTTCATAAGTGTACCTTGTACTTTTTATGTGTTAGTGTTTATTTAACTTACCTGCTTTCTACAAAGTCTATTTCTTCTCATCTGTTTGGTACACCGCTACCATGCTAATCATTCTAAAATATTTTAACCACATCACTTTCTTGAAAAACCTGTTACCTTTCATTGCTTTCAGCAGTAGTTCCCAGACTAACGTCAAGCCATGAAGCATTATTCAAGGTTAAAAAGAAAAAGTGGGGGTAGGGGGGATAGTCTCTGTGGTAGGTAAGTTTGAGAAATGCTATATGCCATATTCCTGTCTTGGAGGCTTATAATGCACACTAAAATATTAAAGACTCTTAGAAACTTAACCTAATGTGTCCCAAAGATATTGGACATGGAATCGTTTTTTCGTGGCACACATTACTTACAGTGTAATTTAAGTTCACTTGAGCATTCAGAGCCGTCCATCCTGCTCAAGTTTTCTAACTCTCTGACTACTCCCCAATTTACATCACCTGAAGACTAACCATATATTTATAATAAATGAAAGATTTGCCATTCAAATTATGTAAGGGATTGGTATCTGGAATATATAAAGAATTTGTAATAGATCAATAGGAAAAGACAACCTGAAGGAAAAATCAGAAAACAAAAGGACATGAATAGGCCTTTCCCAGAAAAGAAAACCTAAAATGACCAGTAAACATACGGTCAAATCCACTGCCCAAATCTACTATTAATATGGGACGTGTGTTTTCTGTAAAGAGAACTAGAGATTGTTAGACCTTTAAAAACCATCTTGTTCAAAAATAGCTAACAGGTTTTCTCTTGGGAAGTGACTTGAGTAGTCATTAGTGGCTGTCTGTATAGAGCCTTGTTATTCAACATGATCTGCATCAGTATTATTTAGGAGCTTGTTAGAAATGCAAAATCTTGAGCCCCACTCAAGACCTGTTAAATCAGAATCTGCATTTAAACTAGATCCCAGATGTATCTTAAGTACGTCTTTAGAGTTTGAGAAGCATTGGACTAGAGTTTATGTTGAGAATCTTGAGACATCGTCTGGGTTCAGCAGGAAATGGTTCCATGATTGATGGGCGATGTATGCCCTAAGTGTGGAAGAGGGATATGGTGGCTCATGATCTAGGAATGAGGCAGCCATACTGACATAGCCATTTTCAGTTACTTAGTTCTCTGACAGGATATTTTTAAATATCTATTTTTATTGCTAAGTAATAAGCATAGCAGTTGTCCCTGTTTCTGTAAGCCCGGATCGCTACTCTGGGTAATTTTTAGTTTAATTTTCTACTTTATTCTCTTCTGAATCTTTTTGAATTTTTTGTAAGTTAGTATTGTTTTTAAGTTTTAAGTGAATAAAGTAATGTGGTTTGTTCTGTATTTGCAATCCATGTTAACTCACGTGGCTGGTAAACAGAGCATTAGGTCACGTGATGCATAATTTTTTTCCCATTCATGTTTTGTGCCACCAGATAACAGCAGCAGAATGACCCTCTCCAGACGACCATTACTAAGTTTAGCGTCTTTCATTTTAGATCTTCTCTTTACTTAAAAACATGGGCCTGGCACAGTGGCTCATGACTATAATCCCAACACTTGGGGAGGCTGAGGGAGGAGGAGACCTTGTCTCTACCAAAAATAAACAAAATTAGCTGGGGCATTTTGGTGTGCACCTGTGGTTCCAGCTACTTGCGAGGCTGAGGTGGACCGCAGAGGTCAAGGCTTCAGTGAGCTGCGATCACACCACTGTACTACAGCCTGGATGACAGAGACCTGTCTCAAAAACAAAACAGAACAAAACAATACACAAATATGAGGATGTAAATGTTACTATACATGCTGTTCTTTGACTTAGCTTTTTCTTTTAATGCATTGTATCCTGGATTTCATTCAGTGTCAGTATGTAAAGGTTTATTGTCTTCTTTTTAATGACATTCAAGCATTTCTTAGTATGGATTATTTTATTCAGTCTTTCCCCTAATAACAGACTTGCCTGTAATCTGTCAATCAGTTGCTTTGATTAGTGTTTTGGAAACAATAGGAAACTATCTATATTCACACAGGAAAACAGATTTTAAAGATCTTTTAGATAAAAATATACATAATTTTAAGAAGAACATTCTTTCAGTCTACCAATATACTTGACTATTAAGGAGAAACTGTTCCTTTTGTTGTTTCTCTTCAGGCTCTCGAACAGTGTGGCCTGATGAAACTATGGGACCCTTCGGACCTCAAGATCAGAGGTTCCAGCTTCCTGGGAACATAGGTTTTGATTGTCACCTCAATGGGACTTCTTCACAGAAGAAAAGCCTGGTTCATAAAACTTTGCCTGATGTTCTAGCAGAACCTTTATCAAGTGAAAGACATGAGTTTGTGATGGCACAGTATGTGAATGAATTTCAGGTAAATTGTTGGTAACATTTATTGTGGTTTCCTGATTGTTAATGCTATATTACTCTTGATTATTATAAGCATATTACTTTTGTTGAAAAAGTTAAAAATCAATTCGAATACCTGTATATACAAAAACAGCATATATAGCTTTGGAAGACTTGGCATTGTCCTCTACAAAGTGTTTGCTATATAATTTTTGTACTGTAGATTATAATATTTTTTAAATATTTCTTCAAAAATATGTTTTTAAGTATAGATATAATGTAATTATATCTATATACTGGAAATTTAGGTTTCCTGTTTTTCACTTTTAATAAATGGCAATTAAATTTGTACATGGATCTGATTCCAACTGGTTCTGTATTCCTCTAGCCATTTAAAAGCTTAAGAAAAATTTGAGATCTCTGAAATTGTTCAGATATAATAATAAAAAGGACCCAGTTTCATAAGTTTATTTTTTCTTAAATAATTTCTTAAAGGTTGGTTTTTTTTTCTTCATTTTTAAACATTTTTAACTTGCATTTGTGATTGTTTAAAGTGGAAAGCTACATGCAATTCAGGGTTCCTGTCAAACCCCTGATGTTTATCATTTTTCATATTTTTGCATAGTTTTAGGCTGAGTTTTTTTTTTTTTTTTTAATCAAAGCCATATTATAAGCAGCAGCAATTCCTTACTTTTGAGTTATATTAGATGACCTGACACTGAGACACAGTTGACCAGTCCTATGTTTTTATCAGATAATTCCTTCTCAGCCTTCTTGGCTTCTTGTTCTTCCTGTCTGTCAATTAAATTACATTTCCCCTAAGTTTCTGTCCTACAACTTCTCATTTGAATCACCCCTTGGACACTTAATCCGTTGGCTCCTCCACAGTCTATGTTTTTATAATTTCTAATTCAGTATTTCTCTTTCTGACATTTCCAGTTCTATATTTCTATATGCCTACTGAACCATCTTTGTTTGGATGTCTCGCAAGTCCCCAGATTTTGTGTGTTTAATACTGAAGTAATATTTTTTTTTTTTCCCTTAAAAACCTGTTCTAACTCCCGTATAACCAATACTGTTAGTGGAATAACCATCCTCCCCTTTCTCCTAAGATAAAACTTAGAACACCAACCTTCTCTCTCCATCATATCACTATAAATAATATAAAAATCACATCACTTTTTTCCTCTCAAGTTGCTCCTAAAATATTAGTGTCCTTTCAATTCTTTGCCAGAGTTCAAGGCCTGTTTGTCTTACCTGGATTTTTAGAGTCATTATAGCATGACACACAATGAAGATAGAATAAATCTGGGTTCAAAGATTGACTCTGCAGCTTACTTAATTTTGTGACCTCGAGGAAAATACTTAACCTTTCTAAGCTTCTGTTTCTTTTTTGTTGTTGTTGTCGTTTTGTTTGTTTTTTTGTTTCGAGATGAAGTCTCGCTTCATCTCGTTTTGAGATGAAGTCACCAGGCTGGAGTGCAGTGGTGCGATCTTGACTCACTGCAACCTCCGACTCCCTAGTGCAAGTGATTCTCCTGCCTCAGCCTGCTGAGTAGCTGAGATTACAGGCGCGCACCACCACACCCGACTAATTATTGTATTTTTAGTAGAGGTGGGGTTTCACCGTGTTGGCCAGGATGGTCTCGATCGCCAGACCTCGTGATCCGGCTGCCTCGGCCTCCCAAAGTTCTGGGATTACAGGCGTGAGCCATCATGCCTGGCCACTCCTGTTTCTTTATATGTCAAATGAGGATAGTAATAATCTCTAGCCCACAAGATTTTTTTTTTTTTTTTTTTTTTTTTTTTTCCGAGACAGAGGTTTGCTCTGTTGCCCAGGCTGGAGTGCAATGGCACGATCTTGGCTCATTGCAACCTCTGCCTCCCAAGTTCAAGCAGTTCTCATGCCTCACCCTCCCAACGAGCAGGGATTACAGGCATATGCTACCATTCCTGGCTAATTTTTGCATTTGATATTGCTGTTTCTCATTGCCTGTAGACTAAAGTCCAAATTTCTTAATGCTGAATAAATGGCATTTCACAATTTTGATCCCTTATCCTTCCCACCTTATCTGCCACTACTTCCTATTCCCTCTGTACTCCAGCCACAACATACTTGCCATTTTTCTTGAATACAACATTCTGTGTCTTTGCACTTTATTGTCTTTTGCTGCACTGTTTTTCCTCCTGAATTCATAATCTCTATACCATCTATTTTTTACCTGTCAGATACATTAACTTGTAGCTCAAATATCACCATTTCAGTCATTTCCTGATTCTTCCCAGCAAAGTGTTTTTTCCTCATCTGTGCCCCTAGAAGACTTTATTCGTAACTCGATAGCACTTGTCATATTGAATTGCATTTATTTGCTTGTGCTTTTTTTTTTTATTAGGCCTGAAATCGCTGAAAGTAAGGACTGAATTTTTTACCATTGCAGTGCCTTCTCCTGTCATAGTGCCTGATGTATAGTAGGCTCTCAGTAAATTTCAGTTGAATAAAAGCCTCTAAGCTCTTCCTGTAGGAGAGGCTGTATTATTTAGTCATGTATCTTGTAAGTTAGTATCATTATCCCCATTTTACAGATTATAGAAGAAAAGATAATTAAATATATTACCATAAAATAGAAGACGTAACATTATGAGACACATTATGGCATTTTAGTTACTTAGCCAATTTCTGTTCATAGCAAGTTTTAGAATATCAGTATATTTATATAGTCATGATCTGCTGTATTCACATTTTTTGAACTTCCAAATCTTATATTCATTGTAGAGAAAAGTTTGAGTAAATGAAAAAACATCATTACCTCACCTCCCAGATAGATTATAATTATTTGTAAAAACAAACAAAAAGCTTTCTAAGGAAGACAAGTTTATAACAGGCAAGATACCGTTCTATTTGAACTCCAGATTTTGTTGACTTACATCCTTGTTCTCCTTAGGGTAATGATGCACCTGTTGAACAAGAAATTAACAGTGCAGAAACTTACTTTGAAAGTGCCAGAGTAGAGTGTGCAATACAAACATGTCCAGAATTGCTGCGAAAAGGTACGTCATGCTTTATATTTTGAAACACTGTTACTAATTTTTTAATATGTTGAATAATGTCCTCTATAGAAATTGGAATGCTCTATACCTTAATATTATATTTTACTGTATCTGGCTGTAAGTGATTACATGACCAAGATAAAGGCTTTCAAATGTCCTGTGACATCTGACCTCATGCTGCCATTAGATAGGAAGAGTAAAATTTTTATAACTTTTTTCCTAAGGGTAAATTAAAGTCATTTTTACTCCTGGGTGATTATTAGAGTTATAATTTTATGAGTTAATATAATACTGAAAAATCTTAGTAGGCATTTTTGAAAATTATATTAACCCCAAATAATGTGTAATCCTACTTACCCTTCAGGATTGTTGGTAGTAATATTTCAGTTCATCCAACAAAAGCAGAAGTAAACAAAACTAAGTTTAATTTTACCCTTTTCAAAAATAATATACATTTATAAAAATCTAATGCCACAGTAATTTTACTTAATCAGCATTTTTCTAAAGAAGTACTTTTAACCTTCTTTAAAAATTTGTTCTTTAAAAATCAAATTCTTTTCTACCTGGAATATTTATTCTTATTTGTAGATTTTGAATCACTGTTTCCAGAAGTAGCTAATAGCAAACTACTGATTCTGACTGTAACACAGAAAACTAAGAATGATATGACTGTTTGGAGTGAAGAAGTAGAAATTGAAAGAGAAGTGCTCTTAGAAAAGGTAATTCTTTCAATTGCTAATAATTTAATTTTATGGTCACTAAGTAACAGTGAACCAGTGTCTTAAAATGATGACTTTTTAAGGTCATTTAAAGGTCATTTCCACCCTTTATTCATTTTCCTCCAAAGTGTTGTAATGCTAAAGGACTTACCTTTTTTTTGAGAATAAAAGTGCTTTTTTAGTATCCTTAAAAATTTAGATTCTGTTTATTACTTTCCTCAATTTATTTTTTAAAAGTCTTATTTTGGAAAATTTGGAAAATGACAAAAAGGTAAAATTAACTCTTTATCCTTCTCCCCTCAGCCTCCCCCTCCCCCTCCTCCTCCATCTCCCCCTTTATCTCCCCATCTTCCCTTTCTCCTGGGCTTAGAACATGTCAAATAATGAGTGAAAATTATGCCAGCTCTCTCCAAGAGTAAACAGTAACAGTATGCAATACAATAACAGTATAATAATGTTTACCCACGTTTTTTTCTGTGTTTTGCTTTTAACCTAAAGTATGCTTTGACATGTTTCCATACTTACACATAGATATATTTCATTCTTTATAAAATCTGCATAGCATTATATCACATGGGTAAACCATAAACTTTTTAAATTATTTAAGAATTTTAACCAGGTGCAGTGGCTCCCACCTATAATTCCAACACTTTGGGAGGCTGAGGCCAGAGGATTGCTTGAGTCCGGGAGTTTGAGACCAACCTGGGCAATGTTGTGAGACCCTGTCTCTACAAAAAAAAAATTATCCAAGTGTAGTGTTGCGCACCTGTAGTCCTAGCTACTCTGGAGGCTGAGGTGGCAGATCACTGGAGCCTGAGAGGTCGAGCTGTAGTGAACCTTGATGGTGCCACTGCACTTCAGTCTGAGCAACAAAGTGAGACCTCCCATCTCTTATAAAAGAAGTTTCTTAGTCATTTATAAGTTTAAAATCCAACTTTTGCTATTATAGGCAACAAGCAGTGACAATCTTTTTACAAATACTTTTATGCATGCTAATATCTATAGATTCCTAAATAGAGAGTTGCTGAATCAGTGTGTATCTATCTACCTTTTAAATTTTGATAAGACACTTCCAATTTGCCCACCAAAAAGATTGTTCTAGTATATAAACTGTCATGCTAGCTTACCCTGGGTGTTAGCAGTTCTTTCCAACTCAGGTTAGCTAAGGGGTTCAAGTCACTAACTTGAATTTAAAAATCCCGTTAGTGATTTCTATGCAGGATATTAGGAATTATTTTATGTTTTCTTTCAGATTAGATATATGGTTTTTATTTGTAAAAGTATTGTAATTTACATATTCAGCAATATTATAATTTCACATTTAAATGTCATATAGCTGCTAATAGATTTTGTGTGGTTTTTAACAATCACAAGCATATTATATAGTGATTAACAAAAGTTATAGAGAGGCGTAGGATATTTTCTATTTACATATTAAAATAATGCTTAGTAAATATATACTCATCACTATCATTGAAGTGCTAGAATATTATCACATGTATATTGCATTAGTTTTAATTTTTGGTCAGTTTAAGATTCTGAACCTAATTTGATAGTGACTCCAGTATAGTTCTAAGTTAGTTTCCTATAACCAGTTTCAGGGCTTTGAATGGCAACATGCTTCAACTTGAGAGTTTTAATTTGATAATGACTGAAGCTATTTTATTTTCTGTGAAAAAAGATTTTTTTGATTAAAGATTTCTTCGTGATTATTTTGGAACCACACCTAGCTCTCCAAGTAAATATTAGATATTTTATGGTTTAAATCTATTCTAATTTATTCCAGCAGATGTCAGTGTTGGTGAACAGAAATCCTAAGAAAAATACTTCAGCTTTGTGTTAATTTGAGATTCTTTCAGTTAACCTTTGTAAACATTTGATTGCATTGCATTGTTTTGCTCTCCTTGTAGTTTATGTATGATACATCTGTTCATTAAATTGAAATACATTCTAATGACTGTTTTCTAAGCCATATTCAGTAGTTTTCCTATTTTTAAGAATTGTGAGGATTAATAAAATACAGCAATAAATATTAAATATGGAAGATAACCTAAAGAATACAGTATTATCTTAATGGTTATTGTTAGTTTACAAGAAAGTATTAAGAGAGAAGTTACCTTAGGTCAACTAACTTTTTCTGGAAGGGGTGTTAAAAGACAAATTATCACAAATTTAAAGATCTAATTGGTTTTGATTTGAAATTCTAGAATCAAGCAACGCCTCATTCTGTAAAATAGATTGTTACAAACAGTTAAGCAGAGGAGGCTGGCTTTATACACGGCAAAGAGCTGGAGAAAGCAGCAATAGGAAACGAGAAGCAGATTATTCCTTTCAAAGTTACTTTCCTCATAGGGTTAAAACACAGGTGGCTTTCTTATGCTGGCTCAGGTAAACTAGGCCCATTCTGATTGGTTGCTGTGAATCTTGGTTTTTTTGTTGTTTGTTTGAAAACTAGTCTGTTTCAGAATTCAGTTAGATTAGGCAGTACCTAGCATGAGTGACTCCATTCTGGTTTGGTCTCATCTCCTGCGACCTAGTGCAGGAGGCTAGTCCAAAACAAGGAGCTCCCATAAAATTTGTTTAACAGGGGCCAAATAGTAAATATTTTAGCTTTTATAGGCCTTAGGGTCTCAGCTACCCAGCTCTACCCCTGTGTTGTTAAAGCATCTGTAGACAATATGTAAATGAATTGCCATGGCTGTGTCCACTAAAACTGTTTATCCAAACAGGCACCAGATCAGATTTGGCCCTTGGACAGTAGCTTACTAACCTCTGAATTACAATAAAGTCTTGATTTAAGGCTTGGACTTTTGGAGATCTCAGCTGAAATACCACAATTAGTCAGTAAGGTCTTTTCATTCTGGGTGGGTCGGAAATCCATGTCTCCCAGCACTGCACGACACATGATCTCTAGGCCTCTCGGAATCTTGCCTCATGAGTGCACAGCTCAGCCCTTAGCTAAGAAACTATGGTGAATAGTTCTGCAGCCTAACTCAGGAGCCCATTTTATGTATCTCCTTCATTTCCAGTACCTTGCCTTACAAATCCCAGGTGCCTCAGCTGTCTCGAACTCTTGCTTTCTACCTCCTCAGCTCCAGTGACAACATCATTTTGCTTGGGCTCTAGTTCTTTGCCCTGTGACAGGCAAATGTCCACAGACAGAAAGCTGGAGCAAATATGGGGATTTTTTCATTTGTTTCCCTTCTCTCAAAGGTCTTGTCTCACCTGTTGTTCAGGGTGTAAAAATAGTTACCTTGTGTATTTTGATCAGTTTTATAGTTTTACAACAGGATTGCGAGTTCAGTACCTGTTAACTCTGTTACGGCCAGAAGTGGAACTGTGCCCTTGATTTTTTTGTTTTGTTTTGTTTTTTGAGACGGAGTCTGTCTGTCGCCCAGGCTGGAGTGCTGTGGCGTGATCTCGGCTCACTGCAACTTCTGCCTCCCGGGTTCAAGCAATTCTTCTGCCTCAGCCTCCTGAGTAGCTGTGTGCCCTTGTTTTTAAACATTCATGATCTCTTCTTTATTTCAACATTGTAATCTGGTCTTAATATTTGTTACTGTCTTTTCACTACTTAGACTTCTGATAAAGCTAATAAAATAGCTTATAAATTAGGATGGTAAGACCACAATTTTTATACATGCACATGGTAGTAGTAATTGTACACTATACAAAAGATAGAGAAGAGTATATAATGAAAAGCAAGTACCTTGTTTAAGTACACCATTTACCAGGTTATATTATTTTTATGTGTTTTTTCAGAATGATTTCATGACTATGTGAGTAGATAGATGTATTTTGAAGGACACACAAACAAGTAAATGTTTTTAAACAACTTTCTTTCAAACAAATGAATGTTTCAGATCTTTTCACTAAGAGCATTTTGTTTTCCTTTACCTATTTCTATTAAAATACCTATTTAGTATTTTACCTGTATCTGTTATCACCGTAATAATAGAAAATAGCAACCATAGTTGATAGTTTATGACAGATTCAGAAGTTAGTAGCATAGAACTGATTAGAAGTAGTTCATAAAGTAAGAAAGAATTCAAAAGAAAATGTGTAGAATTTAGTCTTTTTAAAATAAAGTGTTGTATTTACAATCTTCTGGAATGGTCAAAATAATCTTATGCTTTTATAGTCTAATTTGCTGTTGGTTTTTATTTTTTATTAATCTTGAGTTCTTTTCTGAAACAAGATAGTCACTTAAAATTTTATTTAAAAATAAAACAATCTCTAGTAATGCTATCTTTAAGCATATTATTTGACTTTCAATGCAGTTCATCAACGGTGCTAAGGAAATTTGCTACGCTCTTCGAGCTGAGGGATATTGGGCTGACTTTATTGACCCATCATCTGGTTTGGCAGTGAGTAATTATCATTTGAAAATCAAATTATGTGAAGTAGAGATGATTTTTATTATAAAATTTGTTTTTAACTTTGGTAATAGATTAAGACTTTTTAAAAATCTCACAATTTTACCCAAATAAATACTACTGTGAGTCACTGGAATTCACAACTTTTGAGAGACCTCTATCACTCACAGTTAAGTTTCTCCATCACTTCAATTTTTTTGATTAGAAATGTTTTTACTTTCTGTTCTCACTAGTAGATATTATATATTTGAGTTGCATTGCATAAGTGTGTTTACTTTTTATAACTTGAAAACTATAAATTGGTACAGTCTAGTTTCTGTAAGGAAGAAATAATTATTATTAGAGTATTAATTGATTAAATTATTGATTAGATTAAATTATTAATTGATTAAAATACAGGTGGTAAAAATAAATACTTAGACCAGTAAATTTTTGGAAATTAACATTTATAAGGTTATACTTTGAAGAAATAACTGAACTACCACTGTAGTCACATTTTATATATCTTTCAGTAACAAGTAGTAATCAAATCATTTTCTGAATCTTAAGATAGGAATATATACCATTTCTTCTCAAAGTCAAATAAGATATCGAGAAATGGAAAACTTGCTTGGTCTTTAGTTTCCTTGTCTTGAAAATGATGGTGAACTATAGATAATTGTCTAAGGTTTATTCCATCTTTAAAGGATGTGCAATAGTATGTGTTTGATTCTAGGTAACATGAAATTTGCTAGATCATTTCACATTTCCGGAATGCATAGGAATTGGGGAAAAGGGGTGTTAAGGCAGTTTAAGTGTTGCATGTGACTTTTTACTTACTTAGTTTTTTAAATATTTGGAATATTAAAGTAGATAGGTGTCATGTTTACCTAAAAATTATTACTAAAATGTCTTTCTTACTAATGAAAATACTTCATTTTTATTTCCTTAGTTTTTTGGACCATATACAAACAACACTCTTTTTGAAACTGACGAACGCTACCGACATTTAGGATTCTCTGTTGATGACCTTGGATGCTGTAAAGTGATTCGTCATAGTCTCTGGGGTACCCATGTAGTTGTAGGAAGTATCTTCACTAATGCAACACCAGACAGCCATATTATGAAGAAATTAAGTGGAAATTAGCAGAAATGTCCATTTATTTGCTGTACTATTTGTATGTGATCTTTGGATTGATCTATAAACACTGTCATACTAAAGTTTTTAAAATAGACTTATTTCTAAGTATTTATTTCAGCATTTATGAATTTACAACATTGGCAAGTGATTTGGGACTTTAACATTGCAAATCTTCGTTATTCATATCGTTGAATACACATTGAGCACATCCACATTGTATGGGATGTGGTAATTAGCTTGTAACCAGGGTATGATCTGCTATTGTTATTTCTCCCCGTTTTTGGAAAAAGGCCTCAGTTTTAATTATTTTCTTCCCAAAATAAATCACACATTTGGTTACAATAATGTGTGTTTTCATTACAATATTTTTAAAATACCATCATTATTGATTCTTAAGTTTCTGTATTAATCTTTTTAAAGTTCTTTTTAATAATGCAGTTGAGAATTTTGGATTCATTGTAGACTTTACTTTTTCAAATTTTCTTTTATCTTTATTGTCTATTAAAGTGTTGTGGTACCAGTCTGAGTATTACTTTGAAATAATTTATGTTCAGGAAAAGAAGAAGAAGGATAATATATCTTTAAACACACGAGTCTTGTCCTTATCCCTACTAAAAAAGGTAATTCTCTCTTAACTCCTAAGTTGAGACAGATAAATAAAACTATGCCTTAACTGCCAAATCTATTTTCAATTTTAGCAATAGGCAGAAACTGCAGTACTTTACAGAGGTGCCTCATTTGAGATGGGGCTTGTTTTTACAGCATTAGAAACTTCAAAAGAATTATCTTTCATTTTTGAACCTTTTCTAATAGAAATAGGCAGATCTAAGGAGTAAAAGTAACTTCTACAAAATGAATTGAAATAGATTTTTTCTGTCTTTTCATGAAATGCCTGTTTTGAAAAGGACTACATGGAGATAACTTTTTAATCACACCTTGTTTTAAAACCCCTAGCTTAGTTAACATGTCATTTGATAAGAGGTGTTGCTTATGATCTAGAGCTAGAAAGTTTTCATTCATTTTGAAATGATGAAGTGTAGTGATTGCCACAGCATTTAGAATAACATTAAAGTGTATGTATATATATGCACGTCATATATCCTCAATAAATTTTTGTCTATGTAACCAGCACCCAGATCAAAACACAGAATACCTCAGACATACTCATCCTGCTCCCTTCTAAGTACTTAACATGCCCCAGCCCTTGCCCTTTCCATGAGGAACCACTGTCCAGATTTCCTTAGTATAGGTTGGTTTTGCCTCTTTTGATGCTTTATATATAGATATACACACATACACATGTATATGTACACACACTATATATATATTATATATATATATGAAACTGTATAATGTGTTCAGTATCTGACTGCTTTTACTCAACATTGTGAAATTATTTTCTATTATCATATATGGTATCAAACTTGTTTGCGTAGTTTTTGCTTCCTCATTGCTTCTGAATTGGGACAGCTTTGACCCTCAAGGGAAATTTAGCAATGTCTGGAGACATTTTTTGTTTTCACAATTTGGAGGGATATGGGGGAGTTGTGCTACAGAACTTAGTAGGTAGAGGACAGGGTTAGTGCTGAACATCCCACAGTACAGAGGACAGTTTTACACAATACAGAATTTGGTCAAGTACCTTGTACCACTCGTTATTTCTAATGTGTATTTTGCTTATTCAGCCATTTCCTACCTTGCACCATTCTTTAAGACAAGTTCCCTTGAAATTTCAACATTTGCTTTAACAATTATGAAATGTCACTTATGGATTGAAAATGATGCTTATTCCCTCTAGGTGGCTAACTCGGTGCATTCTGTTGTACTGAGAAAGGGTACATGGTGGTGAGACTCCTTATCAACTTGCTTTTTAACAGGATTTCCAGAAACAAACATCATGATCAGCAGTAACTGTTATAAAAACTTTTTTCTCTGAAGTATTATGGCAAGATTCAGGTTTTAGAAATATAACCCAAGGAACTTTTACTGAATGATAATAATACAAAGTGGTTGACTATTATGTACCACAGGAAAAAAACACCTCAGGTAACTTTGTTCACTTGATCAGGACCTCGTGGACAAGAAAGAATTTGCAAAATTATGTATCTTAAACATAAATTTGCTACCTTTTAAAATAAGACTGAGCCATTGAAATTACTATTAGAGCTATCACTGAAGAAAAGTTTGTTGTTAAATTTATGTTTTCACAAGAACTTAGGAATTTTTGTTCTTGAATGCTGGATTACATAGATGAAAATTTATCAAGCACATAGAAATTAAATGCTGAAAGAGATCTTTCAGATCATGTGATCCACATTCCTCATTTTATAATAGACAAAATGGGAAACAGGAGCATGCATCAGGTCACACAGCTAGTGTTAAGACCCAGCACTGGGACTTGACCATTAGTGCAATAGTTATTTTCCATATTCACTCTTCATGGTCATAATCAAGAAGTCTATTAAGTGTCTGATCAAAAATATCAAAGAGTTGAAGAATTTAAAGTGAAAGAACTTTTGGGTTAACTAATGCTGCCACTTCATAAACTTAGGAATTCATTACATTGAACTCTATCTGTTCCAAATTTCTTTGAAAATTTACTGAAACATGTATCTAAAAATTCAATTATAGAATGCTTGACTTCAAACAATAGTTCTCTAGCTTCAAGTTTAAAATCTTCGTGTCTTTCTTGGGCTTCTGTTACTTGTAATATCAACCTAGTCCTTATTGCTATTACATTTGAACAAAACTCTCTTTTTAGTTCCAACTCTATATTCTCCTTGTGACTCTTGTTGCTCCAAAGCAGGGTTTATCCACTTCTGCACTACTGACGTCTTGAACCAGATCTTTGTTGTGTGGGCTGTCCTAGACATTGTAGGAAGTTTAGCAGCATTCCCTAGTTTCTGCTTACTAGATAACACCAATCCATGGTTATGATAAAAATGTCTTCAGTTATTGCTATATTTCTCCTATGGGACAAAATACTTGCTTATCAGAAATCAAATATAACCAGGTGTTCTGAATTTTATCTGACAACTCTATCACTGGGGTTGAGAACCACTGATTGGAAGTCCTCAACTTTAACTGAACATTTAGATCCCCCTGAGGGCGTTTAATACTGATGATTTGGTCTCACACCCACAGATTGATATCATTAGTCTGATGAGGTTTGGACATAAGTACTTTTTAAGGGCTCCCCAGGTGTTTCAGTGTGCATTGAGGGTTACAACCTCTGGTCTCTTCTAAAACTCAGTAGTAATTGGTGGATTAGCGGCATCTAAGGAAGTAAGAGTAAGATTTGGTCATCCAGTTCATGTATTAAGGAGCTATAGAAAACAAAAGTGAAGGCTCTAATATTTTGCATTAAGAGTGACCTAATCAGGCCTAAATCAGTTCAAGGATTTGAGTTGCACTCTATGAAACCTTTCCTGGCTCTTCCATCCCTCACTGGTCTTTTCCTTCGTTTGTATCTTGGTCTCCACCACACGATTTTGTACACAGTTCCTTTGTATTTTTGTCTTAAATCTTGCCTCCCATACTTGGAAAGTAAGGACCGAATTTCCCACTAAACTTAAACACACCATTGAATATGCAGTAATAACTTTCCTCTTATCCTCTCATTACTGACCAGGATATTTTAAACTTTTTCATAGGGTTTTCATTGCCCTCTCAGAATACATGTAAACTATAAATTACCTAGACTTAAATTAAGGCTTTGAGCATTTTTTGTATTTTGAGACTTTGAGCATTTGACTTCCATTCATTACTGGAAATTATAATCAGTTAAAACCATGTCATTACTATAAAAAGCACATAAAGTCACTTGATTGATGACAAGGGTGACATTGCAGTGCAGTGAGAAAAGAATGATCTTTTCAGTATATATTGCTGGGTCAACTGGATATTCATATAGAAAAAATGTGTTTTTGCTTTTACATGACACATACATGAAAATTACTTCTAAATTGATTCCAAGTCTAAATGTGAAAGGTTAAAGCTAGGGGAAAAATATATATATATTTGTGCTTTGGAGTAAAGATTTGTTTTTAAGAGAACACAACATAATCATACAAAGGGAAAAATAATTAATTGGATCATGTTAAAACTAAACTCTTGGTCGTGCGCCATGTCTCACGCCTGTAATCCCAGCACTTTGGGAGGCCAAGGCGGGCGGATCACCTGAGTCTGGGAATTCAAGACCAGCCCAACCAGCATGGAGAAACCCCGTCTCTACTAAAAATACAAAAAAATTAGCCGGGTGTGGTGGTGCACTCCTGTAATCCCAGCTACTCGGGAGACTGAGTCAGGAGAATCGCTTGAACCTGGGAGGTGGAGGTTGCAGTGAACCGAGATCGTGCCATTGCACTCCGGCCTGGGTAACAATAGCGAAACTGTCTCAAAAACACACACACGTGCACACAAAACAACTAAGAACTCTTAATTCATCAAAAGACATTATGAAAGAGAAGGCAGCTAACAGAGTTAAAGATAAGTACATACCAACAATCCGGCAATATACATATCCAATAAAGAGCTTGTATTCAAAATATATAAAGGCTCCTAAAATCAGTAAGCAAATAACCAGCAGAAAAATAAAGAAACGTTTACAAAGAAAGGTACTCAAATGGTCGATAAACATGGTAAGGTGGAATACTTCATTAATCATCAGAAATGTAAATTAAACCTACAATGCCATACCACTACATCTCTCCCAGAATGAAAAATGAAAAAATAGATAACACCAAGTTATAGTATAGATGTAGAACAACTTAAAATTCTGTTGATGGGAATGTAAAGTGGTATAAATACTTCAGAAAACTGACGGTTCTAAGGCTTAATGCGCCCTAGGACCTGGCAATTTCACTCTGAGGTATAGACCAACCAGAAATGCATATATGTGTGTGTGTGTATATATGTATGTATATATTCACCAAAAGATGTTTACTCATGTAAAAATCTATACCGGTGCTAAATAACCAAACGTAAGAAACTACTCAGATGCACACTAGAACTTTTTTTGTCAATTTATATATCAGTTGTGTCTCATTCACATAATGAGATACTATATAATAATGAGAATAAATGCTTTATGACTAGCAACAAAATGGATGAAAGTAATAATATACCAAAGAAGCCAGACACAGGAGTACGTGCTATGTAATTCTATTAATATGAAATACAAAAACAAAACTATGCTGCTAGAAGTCAGGATAGTGCTTACCCTTCAGAAAGGAAGAATTGACTGGAAGAAAGGACAAAGAGGATTCTAGAATGTTGGTAATGTTTTGCGTTCTGTTTTGTTTTTCTGAATTTGAGTATTGGCCACACGATGAATATAGTTGTGCAAACTTAACGTGCACTTTTTTGTATGTATAGTATACTCCAATAAAGTTTTGAAAAATACAATCAAATCCACTCTTAAAATAGTGGGAGAACCTATTCACAAATAAATGATGCCAGCAAAGGGTCTTTAAACTGAATCCAGTTTTTAAAAAGGAACTAAAATTTATAGGTAAATGAA